GGTTTATTATTTCATTATTCGAAGTAAAAATCTTCATAAAAGGCTAAAATTTCCGTTTCCGTATTTGATCGTTAAGCCCTTAATTTTACATTATTACGTTTCTTTTCAGTTTCTTTCCATTTGTTTCAAGTACAATATAATACAATATGTATACAATCGTACATATGTATGCATGTATGCGACTCATATGCGCGTATAAGCATATATATTGTACATATTGTAATATATAATCATATTGTGTATATTACACATAATTTTTGTGTGTTGCATTGCACAGTTAAAACAATAAATCGATAATCCAATCCATGTAGAGTGTCGACCCGATGCCCACATGAGTGCAGAGTCTGTGTAATAAAATGCTAATATGTATCATGACGCTTGGACGTTTCTGTACATTCTAAATTTCAGTGCACCTCAGGCTGCGTACCATCTTTGTCCATGAATGCGGGCAACCCTAGAGAGACAGTCCCGGGCCAGCGGTCAAGTCGTGCAAGAGTAAGTCTTTGACCACTTTTGTTAGCGAGTAGTCACACCTCGTTCTTGTCGCTGGCGCGTTGTACATCAGCAGCTTCTATTTTCCTCGGTGCCAACAAAATCCGGGTCTCGACTGATCGTACCTTGAACATGTCGACTGCTCTTCTAGGGATGTCCCTGTTCATAGACTCTCTTGATCCATGGCGTTAACTGCGAGATTGGCCTGTATGTCTCTCATAAATCCTTTGTGTTTCAAGCGCTCCTTATTACGTACATCACTCAACCGGGAGTGGCGCGGAGGCCTGGGATGAAGAAACGTTCCTAAGGAATGCGAACTAGATTTCTTGATCGCACTACCGCGAGCCAGGATGCGATCCTACAATTCTAACAAACTCTCGTACGCTGTAGATAGAAAAGAAAAGAAAAGAAAAGAAAAGAAAAGAAAAGAAAAGAAAAGAAAAGAGATGAGATGAAATGAAAAAAGGGCTGGCGCGATTTTCAGGAACGGCGCCTATCGATTATCTTTGAAATGTCTCGTAAGTAGAAACCAGCTTTCCAGACGCATTGGACAGTAAGTTTGTATATCGGCGTTTGTAATAGTTGTTAAGGCCAAATTCATAGATACGCTTCAAAAACATCTTATTATTTTGTGTATCAGTTTTAATGTATTTTTAATTCAAATAATGCTTTAAAGTTTTTCAATCGCAATTTTTGAGTAATCAATAAATAGATAATGTAATTCATGAAATGTATCTCGGAAAGATACAGCGTCAAAAATAATTTTGAATTATACAAACGATAAAAAAAGGAAAAAAGCAAGTATGATATGCACATAGTATTTCAATAGTTTTTTTTTCTCCCTTTTTGAAATATCATAGAAAGTGTGCAAGTGCATATTTTTCATGTAATTCGTTTTTACATTTATTATAGCAAAAAATTTGTTTCATTATTTATTATCTCTATAATTAGTACGATTATTTTAATTTTTTTTTTTTCCTTTCTCTTTTTTTTTCTCACTGACTTTTATCATCGGTCGTAATTTTATTATATTTCAATGTTATCGCGCAAGAAAAAAAAAAGAAATTTTTTTAGTTAATTTAAAAATACACGTGGAATTGAATGAATATATTGATTTATCCGTGGAAATTTCATGAAATCTGTCCCATGTATTATGATAATAATGCGAAGAAATGTATAAAAACTTATAAAAACGCGTATATACACATATTGACATGTTATAATCATTTTTGCATATATGTGTACGTATAAACATAAACTATATATGAACAAAAATACACATATATTCGTGCAGAGGACGAGAAGATAAAAAGAAAAGTGAAAGGGGGAAGGGAAAGGGGAGAGAGAAAGAGAAAAAAAAAAAAGAGAAAAAAAGGAAAAATTTGTTTCAAAATTATGATCCATACTTCTCGAAGCTGACTTCTACTCACGAGGTTCAAAGCTTTTCATGTATGTAAATCCATTCACAAACTTTCAAATAGAAAACAGAGTTGATTGAACTTTTCAATCTTTCTGAATACTTTGAATTTGTTGTTGCATGTAACCTTATTATCCTACATGATCCCAGCCTGGGCTGCAAATGGCTCGTTACGTTCTGATTATATAAACTGAAAATCGCATGGGTTAAAAATCCAGTCTAACGCTGCCTGCCTTATATGACTGGCCAAAAGAAGAAAAGAAAAAAAATAATCCCATGTTCTTATCACTGCGAATTTTGTATTATGCATCCATTTATCAATTTGTTTTCTTTCTAGTAAATGTACCTCGTATATAAAATAAAACGGATAGAAATACTTGGTTATTGCTTGCATTTAGATATTCTGAATATAATTTAATAAAATTATAAGTACGTGTAGCGTACACATACAGAAACACATATACACGCACAACATATAAGAAAATAAATATAAATCGAATAAATGATTAATTGTTCGATTTTAAAGTGATAATTTTACCCTTTCGCATATTTGGTTAGCGTGTGAACGCACGTTATTTGCGCAGGTTTAACATATATTTTTGAATATACATTTGCACAAATATTTTTCTAAACGAATTCATTCTTCGATACGATTTATGATTCATTCTCGCGATATATATTTCAATCAATTGTGTATTTAGATGTGAATTTCGATAGATAGGTAGTTAATTATAGATAGTAGTTGTATGATATTGTGCGCGAGCATATACGTTTCCATCTTTTCTATAAATATACTTTCTTCTCTTTTTACTTCCACCTATGATCGTGTATATCATAATTGGTCGATAGTAGTGTCTTCATTTATTTTATATATATTATCTAAACGTAAAACTGCCTATAAAATAATTTTTTTCCAAACTATTTTTGACCTTTTCTTTAACCATTCTTTACAGTCATATTAGGCAGCACGCGACTATTTTTCTTGCATTGTCATTATACAGGGACTAATTCACAAAGTTAAGCCTTGGACAAGGGAGCAAGTATGGTGTATATATTGATCTTTGATCATTCGTAGATTCGATTATTTATTATAACGCTGTTATAGTAGAGGCATGTACGAGGACTTCAGCCGAGATTCATTTGAAGAGCGTAGGTAAGTAGACGTGTCAATTCCGGTTAAAAATTGATTCACACTGAAATTGTGTGTCGAAACGTTTCCAAGTATTCGATATATGTGTATCTACATATACATATACACACATTATATGTATATATATGTATATGTATATATATATATTGTCATTTTAATTAACTCTCTGCTCTCTTCTTTGTTTATTGCGATCTATCGAATTGCTTTTTATATTGCCCTCTTATTATTAATTAATTATCGTTAAATTCGTAATTCATATCGAATTAAAATTTAATAATAAACTGTGAAAATGTATAAGTTACGATCATATTATATTATATGTTTATCATATCGATTTGTCTATTTATTCAAATAACAATGAGTAAAAATGACAATTATGTTGGATAGTAAAAAAATACTAAAAGAGGCGAAAAAATGATGTGTACATTTTGCAAAGGAGAGACATATAGAGTGTGTGCTCATTAAAAAAAAAAGAATATATGTATATTTATTATATATAATTAATATATATATTATAATATATAATATATATATATATTGTAATTTAAAAGTTTCAATAATTTTTGTTGGCAAAAAAATACGATATTAATACACGTTGCCAAGAATAATTAGCGAGAATAACGAGGAAGAACGTACTCATTGCGGTGTTTTCACCAAATATTTCCTTATAAGTGATAATTATCTTTTCCCGTACCTTTTAAAAAAACATCATTTAAATGTTTTCTATGTATCGGTACGTAGATTGTACGATTTGTTTATTTTTTTATAATATGACGTACCATGTCTATATGACCCTTGTCTACTTACCTATCCGCCCTTTTTTTGTATCTCACAAGTTGTTCCTCTCTTAGCTCGTGTGGTTTTTTTCCCCGATCTCTTTTTTATCGATCTCGTATAACTGACGTAGATTAATTTTGGTTACCAGACCGGGATTACGAGGGCCATCGCCGTCGCGCCGGTTCGCACCATACTAAATCGTCGCGTCGGGCTCGGATCGGTCTCTGTCGGTCTGTCTGTCTCTCTGTGTGTCGGGTCTGTCTGTCGCTAGCAGGAAGCCTCGGGACC